ACACGGGGGGGGGGGGGGGGTGCCCTCCCCCAATAATTTTGCCGATATACAGTTTACTATAGAAAAACATAGCTACTTTATGCTTGTGTCCCCTCAAAACGTTTGATGACCTTTTTTTTCGCTAGTCAAGGAATTTTTGGTAGTTGATAGTGCCTCCTCAACTGAAAATGTATAGCTGTGTATAGCTTGGAAAGAAAACATGGTCAGAAGGGAATTTTTTTTCCTATAGGCTGACAAATTTAAAGAGTGGGTTACAACCCCGTAACCCCCTTCCCTCAAAACTTGCCACTATATATACGCTTATACGAATCTCGCATGGTACTTGATTCTAACAAAATATGTTACATTACTTTTTTGTACAGTTCTTTATTTTTTGCACACTCAACTTCAAATGTGCTAATATTGCTAATCATTCTCAGGAAATATATATGTTAGACTGAGAAGTTTTTTTTTCATAATGCAACATTCGTTTTTATTTCTATTGGTAAACATTTTTTTTTTTACATGTAACTAGAATGGGGGAGGCGATACTACAGTGTATAGACTTGTGTCAGTTCTTGGTATACCAAGCATCTCTTTTTTTTTTATTCAATGAAATTTTTTTATATACATTTTTTTTTATATATTAAAGATTTTGATGACATTAGCACACGACAAAAGACATTGATACATATTTTGAGCTTATCACTTTTTGTGCCCCTGATATCTAAGGTCAGAGGCATATTGATTTAGTTCTGTGTGTTATTTTTTCACAAATTTAATCTTCCCTATATTTTTATGAGAAGAATATTGAGACTTTATTCATAGAAAATCGCAGATATTTACGAGATCGAATTTTCTTATCAATCTGCCATTTTTCTTCACGCAAATTTACTGTAAATATATTACATTTGGCTGTGTATTCTTTTTCGCGCTTTTGGCGGAAAGAAACTTCCGCTAATTCAAGTACAACGCTAAGTGTTTTGAACATATATACATAAATAAGAACATAAAGAAATGCGCTAAATCAAATCCACAATAACTTGTTCAAAAATCAATTTCCGCTAAATATCGTATATGCTAAATATAATACATTTACAGTATTTGGGTAGGATTCCAAAACGTTAACCTTTCTTCTAACTTCTGAAGAAAAAAAAAGGAAACTGTTTTTTTTTATTTGTTGCACATTATTTTCCCATAGTGAAATCAAAGAGGATAATAATTATGGAAGCTATACATTTTTTTATTTATATGTTTCTCTTTCTTACACTAGCTAAGAAAATAATCTTGATTTTTTAAATAATTACAACTGTGGAAACTTATTTTATTAAATATGATAAAACAAATCAAAGAATGTGCGTATTCTTGCTCTCAAAGTCATAGAACAACATTAGGGCCTTGTTAAGTTTTCCTTTAATGGGGATAAAACATCTTTTACTATTAATGTAAAGTATGGTATAACGTATTTATTTTGTCATTTAAACTTTAAAGCTTTTAGATATAAACTTTTCGTATCATAAGGCTGCGTGATTTAAGCCCTATGTAGTTGCTTAACAAAAATTTTCCTCCAAAACCATTTTTTTTCGGTATCAAAAAATGACACAGGGTCATTATTCTACAGGGTCATTTTTCTACAATCCACATGGAGAAAAATGACCCCGAGACCATAATTTCTACAAAAAGTGGCTGAATTTTCTACGTAGAATATTGACCAAGGGGTCAAATATCTACGAAGAAAATTGATCCCCAGTCAATATTCTACGGGGGTCACTTTTCGTCGTTACACCGGCTGCTTAGTGCAAGTGAACTCCAGATTTTATTGATTCGGTTATCAAAATAATATTTTATCCAATCAGAGCAATCAGAATCAATTATCAATTATTAAATAGAAATTAAATGATACACAAATCCATAAAAACCTAAACGTTTGAAGGATAAACTACGAAAACCCCAAAATGCAAACCATTTTTTTTTATTGCAACTTAGTTGTTTTTTTTTTTTTTCAAGTTAGATTCGTTTTTTTTTAATTTCTTAAAAAAAACTTTTATTTTGTGTAATTAAGTTTTTTTTAAAATTTAGTTTAAGTTTGCACTATCGGATTTCCATAATAAACACCAATAATATTCTTATGTCAAAAAGCGCTTAAAGAAATTTTAAATTCAAGAAACAAATGTCGTTTCGATATCAACAAGATGCCTTTATTACAATGAACTGTTTATTGAGTGAACACTTATCAGGTGACGCAACACAGATTCTTATTCGTTTCACAGTCTAAACTTTGGCATATGAATGAGATTGTGAAAAAAACAAATTAGCCATTTCGATAAAAAAATTTATCTTTTAGGGATACATTATCAAGGTAACCCTCTCAGATTAATCGAAATGGCACACCTGGTCGATAAGTAAATATCTTATCTAGGACGTCCCTGCTTTTAATTGTAAACGTGGATGACCTTTAATTATTGTTTACCTGATCATGAAATCTTCTCCCATCATATTTTTTTCTATCTACTGGCTGCTTTTGAAGTTTTACGTCAAAACATACATGAAACATCTAACTGTGGTGTAGATAATTTTTTTCATGTCCTTATAGTAATCCCCTCCTTTTATTTTTAACTTCACAGAACTATATACAGGAAATTCTTTTCAAGAACATCTTTCTTATTGTCAAATTAATAATCAAGCATCGCTATTTACTTTTTTTCCTTTGTCATTAGAATCTCTCATTTAGAGATTGTTAAAAATCGTAAGTAATATGTTTCATAAACAATCATTGTTCTAGGAATTGGGGTAGATCATAAAATGTATTCATTTTGTTTCAAGAGTCAAGACATGTTGATCTTTTTGAACAGCAAGGCAACTAGCTGCAATAATGTAGCGCTCTCCGATTTTTTTAATCTGATATTTTCAGGAGAGGGCTACAATTCCACTGCATCACCGTAATGGTACAAATATATTTCTTAGATACAGGCGACTGCAGGCAAAATAAATTATTTTTGCATTCAACTTACTTCCAATAAGACGGAATTTTTATTCACTATCAACATCATAGCCCTTTATACGCGAAAACCAAGTAAAATAAATCTGCGTGTTTACCAGTCGTTCTCTTCAGCAGCCATGACAGTTCTCGCGTGATGTACTGAGACTTGCGCTTGAAATTTAGAATCACTTGATAAAGTAAATGTCGATGTTGATAAATGTTTGTGTTGTATGATATCACTAAACTTCGATAAATAAAAGCATTTCATGGGATATTTTTTCATAAACAGTGATATTTATGCTTAAAATAAAGGAAATCCTAAACGATCCGCTCCCCTAGATCCCGGATTCTCATTGGTTGTCCCAAAATAAAATCGATCAAGGTCAGTAAACATGGCGGATAAATTTAAGTTGTGATGTTGACATACACGAAAAATAACCGATATACGGATTGTTCTGTATATTTTTGGATCTATTCATGTCTTGCATAACTACATTTTATATATACATTTCAATAAAATACCCACTTACTGATAATTTGAGCCGAAATCTGTGCGGTAGTGAATCACTCCCGCACTTGCACCATTACGGAGATCCTAAGGAGTTGTAGCCCTCTCCAAAAAAAAAAAAAAAAAAAAAAAAAAAAAAAAAAAAAAAAAAAAAAAAAAAATTCGGAGAGGGCTACATTATTGCAGCTACAAGGCAACTTGTTTTGTCAAAAGCTAGTGACACTTTAGTCGCTGAAGTGGAAGCTCATTCACGAGAGAGAGAGAGAGAGACCAAAGACATCATGACGTAAACAATAACATTCTACCTTACTTAACATTATCTAAGCATCTTCCGAAAATAGGTACATACTACATAATACATCGTCTTTGTTTTTATGTTTTTATAAATGGCTCTCTCCCGCCCTGACCTCTATCCCTCTTTCTTTTTTGATTGAAGTGTTATAATTATAAATAGATGTATTATATATTCGAGCCTTGTACAATGTATCTGGATGCGATGAATTGCACATTGCACTTCGATCAAAGCCCTAAGTCAGTATAATCAGTTTAGAACTCAGACAATTTAGGACCGAGAAGTGATCATCAGTGTTTTCATCCAACAAAGAAACCGCGTCTTTTGGCATTTTGCTTCTGCTATAAACATGCGTTTCCTGCTTCCGATCAAACGACGTTTATCGTAGAAAAAAAAACAACAACAAAACTCCATAGTCATTTTTCGAACCCTTTTTCAAATATAACGCGACTTTGTGTAACTTTTAACTGTGTTCAAGATCGACACAATAGTAAAATACACCAGTCTTATGAATTTATTTATTACGTGCAAAAGTTATATATATATATATATATATATATATATATATATATATATATATATATATATATATATATATATATATATATATATATATATATATATATATATATATATATATATATATATATATATATATATATATATATATAAACTATTCATAGAATCATACACATCTCATTTAAACAAATTGGAAATATCAAGAAACAATCATTATAGATTATACGTGCATTATTAATAAAATAAAATTGATTGGTTTTTTTAAGTTTTCAGCTAAAAAAAAAGTCTAATTTTAAGATTCTAGTGCACATGAAACAGCAATAAATACTTTTTTCATGCAATGAAATAAGGACAAAAATGATGTTACAAACCAAATCTTCGTCCATGTCCCGTAAAATCAAATTGTACTGATAATCACTCTAAATTTCAGACAATAATCATATCTGAGTTAATTCTGCATGCAGGAGTTTGAAAGCATAGTAACTAATTTTTTAAAAAAGAATTTCATTGTCATTGCCAAGATACATATTCATTTTTTTTCTAAAGATAAGTAATTAGAACGTTTAACCTAAAAGTCCTAAGGTCAGGCATAATTACGTAGTCTTAGTTTCATTGTTTTCGTCGTTCTAATTACCGGTCACTAAAGACCAGATAAGCAATCTTACCAGAAAAGTATAAATAGAGGAAACCAAATTACGAAGTGAAACATTATTCAAAACAACTAACATCATGCTTCTGCAAGTGGTATTCCTCATCGGTTTGGTGGTCTCGCCTATTCTTGGCCTCATTGGGAAATGTTCACAACCAGTGTCTGACTCAACCACCATCTACGACTTTTCTATGCCAAACATATTCAAGACTGGAACCATCAATTTCGCAGACCTCCGAGGTAAGGTGGTTCTTGTTGTTAATGTGGCTACATACTGTGACCACACACCTCAGTTCCTGGGACTGAATGCTCTCCAGAAAGAATTTGGAACTGACCTTCAGATTATTGGAGTCCCTACTGACCAGTTTCATTATGTAAGTTTATCTCTTATTTTTCAGTACCTGTAATTTGACATGTTAATATATACATTTATTTATAGATAAAGAGTAAAAAATATATATATATAGATGTGCAAAAATCTTATGTACACATTGTATTTTTTCACGAGTCATATATCAGTAAACGGCTTTATATTCGTCCTCTGAATTCCTTGAAATAAAGCTGTTTTCCAGATTGTAAGGAATATGGCTCTTTTTAAATACTGCATCTGTTCAATAATGCTATTCAAATCAAATAACGTGAGTAAATATTTATTTTAAAATAGTAAATTAGCATTTTACGGTTACCACTTCACTAAACAATTGCTATTTCCTAGTCCATGGTCTTTTCAATCAAATCATTAAAAATCAAATAACTTATATTGTTACTTTTAAAATATTAATACATTGAAGAATAGTAACCGGCGTTTCAAACCTTTTCATTTGATTGTATTTATTTCAACTATTTACAGGGATGTAAATGTCCTACATTGTAAATGACAATCTGTTTGTTGGACTGTGTTTTTGAAAGTCATTGCTTGATTTACAGGAAGAGCCCGGAGCAAATGGAACGGAAATCATGAATGGACTGAAATATGTCAGGCCCGGAAATGGGTTTGTCCCAGCTTTCCCTCTCACCACTAAAACGGAAGTCAACGGCATCCATGAGCATAAGATGTTTACTTACCTGAAAGTAAGGAGTATTATCATAATGTAAATGTACCTAGATTCTAAAAGTCGGAAACTTATTTATTTACTTCACTGAAACATTTTTGGTCTGTCAAGTATACTGGTGTCCATTTTATCATGGTATTCTGGGATTTGGATCTTATATTTTACATTGCAGCAGCGTTGTAAGACACAAGAAAACTACCCCCGGGACCTTTATTTGGACTTCCCTCACTGAAAAACTGCTGAACTTTCCTCAATGCAATTTTAATTTAAAAACAACTATTCATTTTCCTTCATTTAGGTGTAGGTTCCTGTATTACCGAATCACTTGACTAAAGAGAAAACCTGTATAAGAAATGTTTGGAGCTCTGAATAATTAAATCTGCCCAGAAAATAAATTCCTGTCTTGCAAACACGGAATATCTTCTCTAGCAAAGGGTTTTCAGTTCATTGCATTTTCCGTTTTGGAACCAGAATATAGGAAGGAGGGGGAGTCAGAGCCCCTCCCCAGGATTTTAGAGTTATTAAGTTTTTATGGTAAAGTAACCAAAAAATGACCCCCGTAAAAAATAAATAAATTAAGCCCCTTGTAACTTGGTAAGATAATATGTAGGAAAGCGGATTGTCCATGAGGAGAGACCTCCTTTCGCCATTTTGGTCATAAAGTACATTTTTGGGAAGGTATTATTTTTTTTTTATTTAAAAAAAACTCTGAATTAGATTCTATTTTTATAAGTATATACTCCTCCCCTTAAAAAAAATCCTGGATCTCCCCTGGATTGTATTTACTCAATTAATGAGCCAATGAAAAAATCCACTTATAAACATGTAAAGACGTCAGCCGAATGATTCCATTTCAGAATGCTCTCATTTTCTTTTCGTCTTTCTCTTTTCTTTTTGAAGGAAGACACGAAATCATTGGATTATTTAAAACTTTCGTGGATATTAAGATAAATGTGCTTATCATTCTGTAAAGTCTTTAACCCTGCCATTTGTGTTGACGTAGTATAAGTGATTGTTTTTAGAGTATTTGTTTAAATGCATATAAATTTGTACAAAATCTATCAATTGATATTGAAAAGATAAATTGAAAATTAAATTCAACATTCAATAATTAATAATTTAATGTTTAATAAAGGGTGTCATATTTAGCTTTGTACTTTGTGTATTCAATACATAGATACATGTAACTTATGAAATGATTCCTTGACAGTCGTTGTTTCTTGTAAAATTATCAATGTTTTGAACGGTAGTCCAACTTTGTTGTGTTCTGGTCGAGCTTCGTTTTAGTCCGGCATATCTAATAGCGGTAGAGATTGTAAAATTAATTCCCGATTTTTAAGAGTAATTTTCGTCGGTACACTAAAAATAACTGATTTGAAAATTTCAGCTAGGTACATTGTTTATTTCAATCAAAATATTGTACATTTCTCTCATTTGCTGGTATTAATTAAAGCACAAAAATTGAGTCCATAAATAATATACAATAGTATAGCTAAAATAGATAATAAATCAGTATTTTGTTTCTTCAGAAATACTGTGAACCAACAGATGAGCTATTTTATCCCGGTCTGACCTACCAAGGAAATAAAGTCCATGATATCCGCTGGAACTTTGAGAAAATTCTCATTGACAGGACAGGTAAACCTGTCAAGAGGTATAACGTCTATGTACTTCCGGCCAATCTCCGTGATGACATACGGGCTCAGATTCAGGGTGCAGAACAACACCAACACAAACTTCCGGTCCTCGGATCATTCATTGGTTGAGGATTTGAAAAAAAAAAAGAATTTAACGTTCTAGTGTATTCATTTTGATGAAAATCATTAAATGTCTTTAAAAGAAGAATTGTTTTCTTTTTTATATGTAATGGATTTTAAGGAGGTGTAAAAAATATTCTCGTTTACCTTAAGGATATCCGATCCTTAGCCAGGAAGGATAACTTTTAAAATTGTTATTTAATTAAAAAGTCTTCAAATGAACCTTGAAATTGAACATTTCTCATGCAACAATTTCCATTTTACAGTGTATGCATCTTAGTATGATTCAAGTTTCTTTTAAGTCTAAAAAAGGGTATTGTAAAAAGTTGACATTTGTACCCTGTAAAAGTAAAAAAAAATTGTTTCTACACGCTTTTCCTGAATATACATGTACATGTATATTGGAGATTTGGTAATTTTCCCTTGCATATAACTATAATGATTAACTTCGAAGAAATACTTTGGGTAAATATTCATTACATTGTGATTTCAGAGATATTTTTGTGAGCATTTTCAATTACTTAACTTCTGATTTTGTGAACCTGAGGATCGGACAACCTTAAGTACTCCCTGGTGTATTTCTTTATTTGGTTTGATTTCAACTTTTCCTTATTTATGTACAATGTAGTAATATCCCGATATCATCTGCATATGGTGTTTACATCTCCGGATTTATTCGATACTGAAGAGCTTGTTCCGAGTACGATCATTTTTTGAACCGAGAGAGGCTACTGACAGAAAAGTTGATGTTACAGGGATTTTAACAACCTCTTTTATAGTCAGCATTTCGTAAAATTAATTCTATGGTCGTTGTAATGACCTTGTAAGCAAACCTATCACTGGCTCTGTGGAATTTCCAGGGGTCCGTGTGGTATGCCCTGTTCACAGATTTGTATAATTGTTTATAGATTTTTTTCGAGATCGATCACTGTTCACAGCTAGATTTGTTTAATTGTTTATAGATTTTTTTTTTAGATCGATCACTGTTCACAGATTTGTATAATTGTTTACAGACTTTTTTGATATCGATCACTTTTCGCTTTCATCACCTTTCTCATCGGAATGCTAGGATGTAAGAATCGGTAGAGGGTCTCCTAAATGCAATAATTCTGTTATTATGTGGCTACATTTTTTCATATACTAGTACTTGTGAGACATTGACGTCCGATGACACAAAAAACGCACTTCTGAAATTTTCAGTATTCAAAATGAGAAGTTTAAGGACTAATGACCCTCTGCTCTTGATTTCACATTTGTTTTAAACTTCCCACCATTGATTTTCATCAAGAGCTAAAGCATTAGATTCAGATGAAAAATAGTATTAGGCATGAGGTGCTGCTTATTTTTTCAGATATGATTTTTGTGGCAGACCATGATATGAAGAAATTTTAACACAGGGAATACGAAGAGTAAACAAAACATCTTATGAATATTGACATATTTAATCCATTCAGTAAAGAAATACTCTGCATACAGATATGTACACGGATGTGTTTACGGATACGATTTTAAGACATGTCCTCATTAAATTAAGATATTCCTGTTAAGGCATAAAGGCAAAGAAATATGATTCAGAATATTTGTTATGACAACAATGTCAAATCCAGCACAGGTAGATAAATGGAATTGCATTTGATGACCACGTGCCCACTAGCTGTAAAGTTAGAAGACGTTATTTATGTATATCTGAGGTGTCTATGATGGCCACAACCTTAATCCTTATATCTATACTTTCCTTTCTCGTTTTCTTGTTTGTATTTTGGCGTAAGAAAAGGAATCTTCCCCCTGGACCACGTCCCATTCCATTCTTGGGAAATTTAATCCTGTTTCAAAAGGATCCGCGTGGATATAAAGCTTATACAAAACTTGCAGAAGAATATGGGAACATTTACAAACTTCACTGCGGATCTACCCTAATAGTAATTCTAAACGGATATGACGCAATCAATGAAGCGTTTGTGAAACAGGCAGACGTCTTTACAGACAGACCTCAATTGTTCTTGCCATTGATTGGTGTTTCCAAAGGAACAGGTACTGGCAAATTCTCAGGAAATATATAAAAAAAAATCTTTAAACTTCTAACTTATGGTACCCTTTTCAGTCTCACTGCCCTATTATATATCTTGATCAATATTTACTGTAAAATGTACTTTCTTCAAGTTCCGTCTTCTATTGCTTCTTTCTAGTTGTTCTTCTGTTTAATTTTTTAACTCTTAAATAAAATTCACCTGATTTAGTCTGTTTCACTGACACATTTTTGACAGTCATGTGTGAGTTAAATGGCTGCCAACTCCCCACACGTCAGTTTGTCATTAGATGCAACGTTTTTCAGGGTTAACATACAACAGTGATCGACCATGGAAAATTCTCAGAAGGTTCGCATTGCAAGCTTTACGAGATTTCGGAGTTGGCAAAAAATCATTAGAAGAGAGAGTAAAAGAAGAGGTAAACGTTGTCATGGAAACACTGACAGCAAGCAAAGGAGAACCAATCAGAGTAAAGCCACTCTTTCTGTCGGCTGCAACTAACATCATTTGCAGTGTTATGTTTGGTGCAAGGTACGGTAGAATTTCTGCATTACTGTGTTGACTAATATTGTGTCTGATTGTAATTTCTTTCCTACAAAAATCATGCAATTGTAGGTTTCAGTATACCGATGAACGATTTAATGAATTAACAGATGTTCTCGAATCCATTTTTCGTCTCAACGCACCATTTGCAAAGGAAAATTTCTTTCCCTTTACGAGGAACTTTCCTGGCGGAAAAGAGGTACTAGTATATATCCATGTTTTAGCTCACCTGAGCCGAAGGCTCAAGTGAGCTTTTCTGATCACATTTTGTCCGTCGTCCGTCTTTCTGTCCGTCTGTCTGTCTGTCCGTCCGTCTGTAAACTTTTCACATTTTTGACTTCTTCTCAAGAACCACTGGGCCAATTTTGACCAAACTTTGTACAAAGCATCCTTGGGTGAAGGGAAATTTAAATTTTTAAAATGAAGGGCCAAGTCCCCTCACAAGGGGAGATAATCAAGAGAAGACAAAAATAGGGTGGGGTCATTAAAAAATCTTCTTCTCAAGAACCACTGGGCCAGAAAAGCTGAAACTTATGTGGAAACATTCTGGGGTAGTGTAGATTCTAAATTCTTCAAATCATGACCCCCGGGCAAGGGTGGGGCCACAATAGGGAATCCAAGTTTTACATTGAAATATATAGAAAAAAATCTTTAAAAATCTTCTTCTCAAGAACCACTGGGCCAGAAAAGCTGAAACTTATGTGGAAGCATCCTAGGGTAGTGTAGATTCTAAATTGTAAAAATCATGACCCCCGGGGGAAGGGCGGGGCCACAATAGGGAATCCAATTTTTACATTGAAATATATAGAAAAAAATCTTTAAAAATCTTCTTCTCAAGAACCATTGGGCCAGAAAAGCTGAAACTTATGTTGAAGCATCCTGGGGTAGTGTAGATTTTAAATTGTTAAAATCATGACCCCCGGGGAAAGGGCGGGGCCACAATAGGGAATCTAAGTTTTACATTGAAATACATAGAAAAAATCTTTAAAAATCTTCTTCTCAAGAACCACTTGGCCAGACAAACTGAAACTGATGTGGAAGCATGCTGGGGTAGTGTAAATTCTAAAGAATTCAAATCTTGACCCCTGGGTGTAGGGCGGGGCCACAATAGGGAATCCAAGTTTTACATTGAAATATATAGGAAAAATCTTTAAAAATTTTCTCCTCAAGAACCTCTTGGCCAGTAAAGCTGAAACTTATATGGAAACATCCTAGGGTAGTGTAGATTTTAAATTGTTAAAATCATGATCCCCGTGGGTAGGGCGGGGCCACAATAGGTATTACAAAAAGATCATCTGGTGAAGAACAGCAGGGCCAAAGTTATTCAGGTGAGCGTTGTGGCCCATGGGCCTCTTGTTTTAATTGGTATTTGAAATGAATTGTAAATCATATGTAGCACTGATTATACAGAAAATTTTCAATTCCTTTTTTATTTCTCCCCTAGCTTATAAGAAAAAGAAGTGCTGCTATAGAAAAGGTCAAGCGATATCTAGCAGTGACTATAAAAGAACACGAGGAGACATTTGATCCTGAGGCAATACGAGACTTTATTGACCTGTACATAAAGGCTTCTCGAGACGATTCAGAGCCCGAAATATTTACTGGTTTGGTTCTTCGATGGTATTTACAGATACATTAAATTATTAAGTGTGAATACACTCTGTAATAACATGTAGTATGTTATTTTTGTAGAAGCTAATGTTTATAAAATTATTGTGGACCTTTTCCTCGCGGGAGGGGAGACAACCGGGACAAGTTTAGACTGGTGCCTGCTGTACATGATTACATTCCCTGACATACAGACAAAGTGCCAGGAAGAGATCGATTGTGTACGTGAATAACAAATAGAACATCACTTCACAGGGAATCATATGACAATATAGTAAATCAATATATTGATATCTCATTTATGTGATTTATAGAAACGACGTCTATATATATTTATGTATACCTGGTAAAACATAACTTATTTTTTAAAAACTCTTAATGATTTATATTTTGAAAGGTTGTCGGTAAAAACAGACCTGTTGGTCTCGAGGACAGAGGGAAAATGCCTTACCTTGAGGCCACCCTACTGGAAATTCAGCGAATAGCAAATACTTGTGTGTAACAATTTCACACGTTTAATCGAAATATTAAGTTCTTGATATTAATTTATATACTTTCAAACCCAAATATTAATGTAATTTTTCATCTTTCAGTAACTTTTTCTCTCCCACACGTTGCCAAATGTGATACCAAGTTGCTTGGTTTTGACATTCCGAAAGACACCATTATCATAGCAAACCTGTATTCAGCCCACATTGACGAGAAATATTGGGATGAGCCTAAGAATTTCAAACCCGACCGATTTTTAAACGAGGACGGATCACTAAGACGCAGGGATGCTTTCGTTCCATTTTCCACAGGTATCTATTCTAATTAAAACATGTTTCACCTTCATTAACTTTTCCATACATGTATACATGTGTACTTTGCATTATGTTTCGGAATACATTTTTTATGAAATTATAAACTTAATGAATTTTTATATGAAAGACTTATCTCGAACAGGTCCCCGTTTTTGCATTGGAGAGCCACTTGCAAGGATGGAATTATTCTTGTTTTTCACAAACTTGCTACAAAGATTCAGATTTGTGATGGATAATACGGACAACTCTCCGTCACTTGAGGGGATTCAGGCCCTTACCTTAACATCACTTCCTTACCACTTGGTGGCGCTTCCACGATAAAACTATTTTTTTGAAAAAATACCTTTGTTTTGCTAAATGTAAACTACTGGATTATACATGTTTCAACCTCGGAGAAAGGGTATCGACTGAGCACAAAATGCAAGTTTAATATGAGTTTCTCTGAGGTTGATATACATTTATCTAGAGTGTATCCCTAATTAAAAACTACTTTGTTATACATGTATTATTTAAATCATGATACATGTATGTATTATTTGCTATTTTTAAGACGATATGTAGTACCCCCTCCCCCCACATTTATGTTTTTCGATGTCTCTGTGTTTGATCTGTACGAAACTCCAATGGAAACCTCCTGTGGTTCATACTTGTATCTAATAAAAAGGGCTCTTCAGTGTATCAATTTATATTTTAATGTCTCAAAGCGAAAAGTGTAAAAAATATTTGTTTTACTAGTGTTTTTCAGTAGTGATCTCTATTTTGATTATTTTTTTTTTTAATTTTTACCTCTTCTCCAAACCACTGGACCATACCAAAACAGGCTTAAACGCAAAACTGCTATTGAGTGTATTGTCTGAGAATCAATCCGAAAGGAAGCCTGATAGAGTCCTTACAAATATTGTCTTGTACTTAATAATTACAGTGTCACTGACATTCAAAACAGTCTCCCACGTGGCACCGTGGTTAAAGAGTCGTAGAGAAGGGAGTGTTCCTTGTAAACGTCACCGGTTCGAATTTACTGCGGGTGCGGAGACGATTCTTTGGATGAGACCGGATGAAACGAGGTCAGGTGTTGGAATAATAAGTGAACGAGTTTGCAGGCTTTCATCTGCAATTGATGGCGTCCCAATATGACTGAAAAATTCTTGAAGACAAGCAAGAAAACAAACATAAAACCAAACTCTGAAAATATTGAACGCACATTTTATAATGTATGACGTTTCATTTTATTTATTCAAAAGGAGAGTATTTTGAAACCAATTTTAAAAATATTGTCAATGAAATTTTCCAGTTTGAAAGAGACGCCATCTCCCTAAGGTTTGGATGACCTCGATCTTTGTTCTTGAATCATTCTTTAAAACAAGTCCGTCTTCCATGCAAGCAGCTTATTTAAAAAAGAAAAAGATAAATGATCCACAAAACCAGAGTAATTTATTTGTAAATAATAATAAAAGACGGAGAGTCTCGTATCTAGATGCTGGTGCTTTTACGATTTGTTTTCGGAACAACGTAATCCCAAGTACATTTTATTTTACTGCATGCAGTGAATATCCGGTAATCAATTAAACAGAAAGGTATATACGTGGACGTTATATCGGTAAGTGTGTCATTTATTTTTTTTTATGTTGACACTGATGCAAAGGTAAACTTACATGCTTAAGGCATAACAAAATTATCCTTGAAGATGGAATGGATTCTAATAATGTTTCAGATTTCAAGTGTTTTAAGCTCTTTATGACCAAAATGTTTTCACACCGATTTGGTAAAAATACACTTACCATCAGTATTGAGGGCAATTAAGTTACTGCGTATATTCAAAAAGTAAAAGGTTATATGTAAGTTAATTATCATTTCCAGATGATTGAGCCTATCAAAGTTCAAAGTTACATCAAAATTGGGACATCTCACACTGACTTTAGTTTTAATTATCTTGTTGACGACGCATGGTAGAAAAACAGCTGTTTATTCTGATAGCAAAATTAAACACGTGTGAATTATGCCTGATGTGTCGTCTAATGTCGCGGTGTTCAAGCTGAAAATCGATTACACTTGGTTTGTTTTCATGCAGTGTGTCTGTGCTAGATTCATAATAATAAATAATCCCATAACATTCTTCAAAAGTCTTTTGAACTAATTTTTCTACGCAATTTATATCAAATCAATTTTGTACTTTAATATATCAGCGATTTTTTTTTATTACAAAGAGTTTCCTTTCTTGATATTAATGCAAATATATATATATATATATATTAAATTTAGAATTGTGTGGATTTAGTGTTATCATCAGCTGTTTTTGTTTGATAATCTACAGTCACTATTTTCTCAGTGATATCTTAAACCGTCGGTCCTTATCTTCCGTACTATCGAAGGATTTGGAGATAGGTAGCGTTCATCCTGCGAGTCAACTTGCCAGCAAGCGAGGAAATCTACTTAGTATTAAGGTGTCATAATAAATCCTTAATATGGTTAATTTGCACAAAGGCCACAAACGAAAGGAGGGAACGGATGTTGGGAAAATTATTCACCAGATGAAGGTGAGAATCTTATTCTTTGCCTGTTTCAAGTATGCATGTTTTTGGATCCTAGTAAATTTCAGGGAATTCCTATGGCTTGATATATACAAGGATTGTTTTCCGTCAAAAAACGTCTGAAGTATGCATGTTTTTTTGGGGGATCCTAGTAAATTTCAGAGAAGTGCTATGGCATGAAATATACAAGGATTGTTTTTCGTCAAAAACGTCTGATGACCTAATTTTACCTTGTCAAGAAGTTCTGTTAGCCCCCCCCCCCCCAAAGAAAAAAACAACTGAAATTGCTCTTGCTTCCTATTAGCCTGATATATATATATATATATATATATATATATATATATATATATATATATATATATATATATATATATATATGTTTGATTTAATTTAGGCTTATAACACTGTATAAATGTATAAATATTGGGAAATAAAAAAAAATTAATAGGCTTTAGCCTGCTTACTTTAACAAATATATAAATCAAGGCAGCTTCCGGAAGTCATTGAAAATATTTTCATGCGTGTTTAGTCCAGATCTGTTTTAGCTACAAGTAAATGTTGATTAGATGCAGCAGCAAAAGCAATACACGTAGTATGCTTCTTTAGAGACTAGTATTGCATGCACATTTTCTGGATAAGTGAACTTGTTCAAGTTTTTGGAGCTGGCCCTTTCCCGGTAACTTTAAGACGTACCCTGACCAGACCTGCATGGGTGACACATCTATCCTTTTCAAGAAACTGTAAGTCCTACAGTACCTGGACCAAACAAGCACAGATGATACATTTATCTATAGATCCACAAGGATGCATTCAACGAGCTTGGAATGCTTCATCTGACCTTCAGTTTTCGGAGAACTGAAATGTTTTGGAGAGGGTCCATTCCCAAGAACCTGTTTACCAGTAAGATTAGACTTGGATGGATGTGCATATAGCCTCAATAGATTGCTGCATTTATATAAGTAACATTCGATCGTCCGTATGAACTCTGTAATCTTTGATTAGCATTTTAAAAATTATGAAGAGCAATTACATTAGACATTAGTACATGTATAATCAAATCAGGTGGAAAAATAACTCGTGATGTTTATAATCGTACTCTAAAAGTACGAATTCAAGAAGCTGCAAATGATTTATATTAATTATGAAAAAAGCTTGTACAAGCTTTATTAATGCTAGTACACATAATTATCACAAAATTTCTCTATCAAACTAGCCCTATTTTTTTATACTCCCCGAATCTTCACTTCTGTATCTACAATGAAATTCAATGCAAGAACATAATTATATACAAAATCCTTCCAAAATAAATATTAATTCACTATAATTTTACCATGCATGAGTTGATTTGAATCTAAAAACAGCAAGGTATATAAACTATGGTTAGAAACCCTTTCCCCAGATTTGGGGTATATCGTATGATCTCAATAGATCAGCATAAATATGTGTAAATTCAAATATTTAGGAAATATGCGAAATTATATACACGTACCCCCGAAAATTTAAATACATATATTATATTTGGTAGATTCTGGAAAATAAATGTCTATTTCTAGATCTTGTAGTAGTTAACAACGTTTGTGATAATCAATATAATTGTAAATATCAAACCTAACCATTCGCCGCTCAAGAGATTTAGGGTGTGACTGACAGACAAACGCCAGATAAAATGAACCCCAAATGTCGCTTTGCTGTGCATGCAGGCAATATTGAAAAAAAGGTCTCCGGTCTTTCTTGGCATATTTTATAACCCTAGTACTATTCTAAGTGTTTCTTTGAACAACAATGCAAAATGTCTACAATGAGTCGAGAATATTTTTTTGCACTCGATATTGTTTTAATATTATTTGCTTTTATCAATACTGTCTTTGCATTCTTTTTTTATGTAGCACACTTCGGTTATAAGAAGCATAATGATGTCCTCATTAACTGCAGTCGTCACCCTTGTCTTAGCCTTTGCTATCTTTAACTATATGGAAACCGGTGTTCCCGAAGGAGTTCCAGAAGTCTGGAACGCTCGGATCTTAGACACATCTCTTCGGACAATGGGGAAAGTTGTAAGTAATACGTTTTTTCTTGATTTTTTAGTGAAAAAAATGTCAAAATGGATCTTTTGAATATTCAGTCGGAAATGATGTAAAGTGGTTTTTTTTAGAAAGTAATTAATCCGTCTATTCCAGTTTTATGCGTCAAAAATAGAAGGATTGTTTTCCTTATTTGATCTCGACGAGAGTTTCATTTACCAGTAAACACTCTGTTAAGGCATAGCTTATCTGGGGAAAGATCACGTCTGCGTGTTACGGATAGAGAGGGTGGTAAATCCCCCCCCCCCCCCACATCCATGAAATTAATTGATAAGATTACACGTGTTTACTTTACAGCTGCAAGGATTAAACTATAAACTCTACGCATGAACTTTAGTAGATGGTCGAAAACATGGGGAAAACAACTATAAGACTATCGAAATTCAAATATGTTTCTTCTAAAACAGATATTAACCTTGAACAATTTTGGAGTTCATGGTGGAGTCACTTGGTGGACTAGAAAGATGGTGGAGATCATGCTGACTACTCTTATAACCGGAAGTCCTCGTGGCCTTGGTGATGACCCGGAACTAAAGGTAGATAAATTTATATTGCCAACAATGATTTTTTACGACAGTTTGAACTTCTGCCAGCGGTAAGTGACGAGAATTTTTTTTAAATAACTTGAAACAGAGTTTCAGTGTAGTGTAGTAACATTATTATTTTTTATACAGATATATGATACAAAGATGGCTGATGTAGACGTTAGAGTTTATGAACCAACAAATGGAAAGAAATCTGATCGTCCAGCACTGGTGTACTACCATGGGGGTGGATGGTCGTGGCTTTCTATTGGTCAGTATAAATAAAGTTCAGCTAAACGTACTCTATTGGCAAATAATAGTACTTAGTTGCATTAACGAGACATAATTGTAAAGAGTTTCTATTTACTTTATTTCTCCAGACGTTTATGACCAAGCGACTAGACAACTTGCAAAAGGAGTTGGAATGGTTGTCGTGTCCGTTGGGTATGATTTTAAAATCCAATATAAGTAAAGATTTCGTTAACCAAGAAACACACACAGAATAAAGATTAATGATTAGTGAACTTGTTCCCTTCATTGTAGGTATCGTCAGTCCCCAGAATATGCACATCCCATACCTTTCCAAGACTGCCTTGACGTCACTGAACACGTGATTAATAATGGAAAAGACCTAGGAATTGATAGTGCGCGTGTAGCAATATCTGGCGACAGTGCCGGTGGTCATTTATCGGCTGCCGTATCTCTGCGCTTAAAGAAGAAGATAAAAATCCAGATTCCTATTTATCCGTGTCTTCAGTTGTTCGATATGCAAACGCCATCATATATAGAAAACAAGGACTATATTCCGGGAATGTTAACAGACATATCCATGTTAACTTATTGGCTGAACTACGCTAACATCAGTTATGACCATATTGACACAATAATGGCTAATAAGCATACTTCACCAGCCTTGAAAAAATCTAAATACGCTGATTACGTCTCGCCTAAGTGGTACATGAAGGAACATATCAGGACTGAGTCTCTTCGTAATATGAAGAAACCGACTGATTTTGGGGACGAGGAACTTTCTAAACAAATAGAAAAAACTCTTCTCGATCCATATTTTTCTCCACTTATGGCGGATGATTTTGACTTGAAAGATCTTCCTTTTACTTATGTTCTAACAGCAGGATATGATGTGTTACGTGAAGATGGTTTGATATACTATCAAAGACTAAAAAGGGCAGGTGTTAAAGTCCATTTAGCTCATTACCAGGAAGGGTTTCATGGGATGATATTTTTCTTTAAAGGACCAATTCCTTTTAATGTTGGAATACGTGCCATGGACGATTTGATACAATTTTTGAAGAAGAATCTCTAACAAGAATTGTCTTAGGATTTTCAAATTCGATATCTTTGCAATAAATGTATCAAAATTTTGTTCATATGGAAAGAAAAAGGTGTAATAAACTGTTTTACAATTTCATAGCACAAAAGTTCTTTTGTTTTGAAATACAAGAGGCCTTGGACCTTGATGTCACCTGAGTATAACTTTCTTTACATATTCGCTACACATATATAATTTAAGCTTGTAAGATTAAAAAAAAAAATACACATTGCTCCTTATGATAATGCAAAATGTTTGTCTTAGCGAAGTGAAACATAAACTAAAGAACCTTCAAAATTAACATCGCCCTATCCATGAATAGTTTGTCTTTTGTCTTTTCAATAATTAATACATTAAATTCATGGGTCATTAATTCCAGCATATTGGTGGAAAGAGGGAATATCATTCATCATGTATAAGGTTTGCAACTGTTCTTAAGTTGAAACTGATTTATTCATTTCTTAATTTGGTTTATCCATACAATATTTCCCGGCCAAGCATCATAAGGTGATTCCAATATGCTTTCATGCATAGACAATGAGTAAGGCAAAAAGTCTCTGTTCACCATAAACTTAATTATTGAATCTCTGATAGAAGGGTTATTGCTGTATGTCCACTCCATAAAAACGGCTTTAACGAAAACTTGCTTGAAGAAATAAGTTCCACCTTCCAAAACGTACTGTTCATAGCCTTCTACGTCCATTTTTATCAAGACTCGTTTTGGTTTTTCAGGAAGTCCAAGAAGGTCATCCAATAATATAGTGTTGACTGGAGTAGAATACTCACCATTCATAACTATCTGAGCTACTTTTGCAGGGTTGTCTTTATTAACAAAGGTTCCGCCAACATTATCAAGGTCTTTTCCCAACGTGACTTGAAGGTGTTTGTTTGATATTGCATTTGCAACGATTGTTATCATGGACTCGAGCTTTCCTTTATGAACAGAACAACACAGTCTTTGAATATTGTCTCTAAGAGGCTCAACAGAAATTGTCTTCCTACCCATTTTTGCGATTTCTAATGTAAACGCTCCTATATTGGCGCCAATATCTAAAAACGTCAAGGATGGATCTTGTTGCATCATGGTTACCATAGGAACAGCGAGATGATGCTCCCACCAACCAGTTCTTATAATATCATGAGAGACATATTTGTCCTGCGTTTCTGAATAAACAAAGATGGGCGTCTGCCCCGACATTGTGTTTAGGGTTGCTTCTTGGAAGTCTTTGACCTGTAACCCTTCACACATGGAAGAAAGGCTCCAAGAACCGTTCCAGGAGTAAATGCGCACTCCACTTACAGTATTGACTTTGGGTGTCAACAATGTCGTATTTATCACTTTAGCAATATTTGATGATAATTGTTTTGATAAATTTCCTTTAACTGCTGATGAAGACCTATTACTTTTATTGACCCGAGCCGTAACAGTAGCTGTATTATTATTCTTTAAATGATTCATTTTTATCTCTAATAGTGTGTTATTTGATTTGGAAACGTTCGGTTTCTTTTTTAAATTCTCCTTTTTGGATTTTAATGGTAATATTTCCTTCACATTATTTAGTTGTTTTGTTATTGCTGTCGTTGATGTAATTAATTTTGTTGTCGTAGAGGTAGCTGTTGTTGTTGTCAATGTTTTTGTTGGTTGACTAGATTTGCTGAATTTGAAATTATCGTTGTCATATTCCTGTGATTGCATATCAAAAGGATTACCCTCCGGTATATAGTGTTTTTCTAGATTTCCTCCTGGCTTTATTTCTTCTCTTGTCCGATCTGATTCAGAAGCAATGTCTTCTGAAAATATTTTAGAGGAATGCATCTTTCTCGAATAAAAGTTCACAACAACGAAGAGCACACAAATCAGTGTAATTCCTATGAGGAAATGTTGTTTTTTCATGATTCTCTACAAAAAAAGATTAACCTTTCAAATTGAAAGAATGAATGCATTGTTATCGATCAGATCTATGCTAAGAGTATTTGATTTTACTAAGAATGAATGCATTGTTATCGATCAGATCTATGCTAAGAGTATTTGATTTTACTAAGAATGAATGCATTGTTATCGATCAGATCTAGGCTAAGAGTATTTGATTTTACTAAGAATGAATGCATTGTTATCGATCAGATCTAGGCTAAGAGTATTTGATTTTACTAAGAATGAATGCATTGTTATCGATCAGATCTAGGCTAAGAGTATTTGATTTTACTAAGAATGAATGCATTGTTATCGATCAGATCTAGGCTAAGAGTATTTGATTTTACTAAGAATGAATGCATTGTTATCGATCAGATCTAGGCTAAGAGTATTTGATTTTACTAAGAATGAATGCATTGTTATCGATCAGATCTATGCTTAGAGTATTTGATTTTACTGTTTTGTTTCGTATTGATTTTGGTTTAACTTTGTATTTCTTTTTTATTTTTTAATCACATTCCATGATCCTATAGACACATACCACTGACTAGTCACCCCCGGAAGTAGTCAGCTGTTCTTGTTTTCGTTGTTGACAACATTAGTAACTGACACAGAGAGGACATTAATTCTCAGGAACTGTTAGGGAAGGAGTCTGGAATGTGAAAATGAAACAGAATATTTGATAAGCATACATGTAGCTCAATTCAAAGGGAAAAAATTAAAATGACTTTATATTCAGCTGATTTAACTTTTTTTTTTGATTTAACATATTTTAGCTATAATCTTGACGCAAAAAAGCAATAACTTCATGTGTTTCAAGGCAAATAAGGTACGGCAAAATACAAGAGTAGTATGGAATAGGAATACGCAAGTCAAGTTTGAATTTGGTCATGGTTTGAACTTAGAAAAGAATATTAAAGAAATTTTCAGTTTCCGCTCTCTAACTTGTATATGGTTGAAATTGCACATGCAGGTATTTTTCCATCACAAGATTTTGAATATACATCACAAGATTTTGAACATACATCACAAGATTTTAAATATACATCGCAAGATTATCGAATAAAGCAACGTTTTACACGCCATATACAGGTCAAGTTTGAATTTGGTCATGGTCCTATGAATTTTGACAGTTATCCCCCTTGAACTTGGAAATGATTTAAGAATTCACAATTTTTAATCATAATCTCGGCTATCAATGTGCAATTTACAATTTGAAATTTTGGCTGCCTGCGGGGCATTAGTGTCGTTACGACACATCTAGTTAAAAGATGTTTTCTATACATTCTCTTGTAAAATTGAGTAAAATAGAATACTTGAATGTGAAAAATCTCACAAAATGCAATAACTTGTTTTTTCTACAAATGCATTGAATGTAAAACGATGCAATTACTAGTAGTTCTCAAACTTTCCGTATAATGACTGGACTAGCATTGTTACCATGTTTAAAAGCAAGTTAAAAGAATGTTTTCATGACTTTATAATGAATATTAACCCCAATAATGCAGAATTTGGGTCATGGACTTAGAGGACTTATCGCATGATTTTTCAAAAATCTTAATTTTGTGAAAAATATTATCTACAACCTTGTTTATTAAAATTCTGAAATAATAAAAGTTGTTGAAAGCGTATTTTAACACTTCGACTTCCATACATATACTTGGACTATGTACTAATATTTTTAAAATATGGTCTTAATTTTCTTCAAATTAAAAAATTTTAAAAATTGAAATAAATCTAAGGGTGGTTTATTTGCTACTAGTATTTATTACAGCAAAGAAAAAATGTACATGAGCGTAGCACGTGGGAGGAGGGGGCACCTTTTCTTAAAATAGTTTTTGATATAATTTTTTATTTGGAAACTGCTTGCCCCTCCCCCAACTTTAGACAGAAAAGTTAGAAACTTCCTGTAGTATATGCCTTAAAACTTTGTGTTAAAAGTTTAGTTTACGTTTTAGAGTCATTATTTCTTACATGTACATATGTTGTAGTGTATTTTTTTTTAGCTATAAAGCGGGCGACACATGTATTCCTGGGAAAACTCTTTTTTTTTTTTTAAATTATCTATTTTTGAAAGATTTTATTCGTTCAAGTAGATATGTTTTGTATGTTATTACTAATTAGTAGTATGTAATAAATATAATAACATATATACCTTTTTCTATATCACACCCTATATCAACCAGAGGGTCTGATATTGCTGATATTAATGTCCCTGGCTGATACGAAGTGTGATACATCATACAGGGGTGATATGGAAAATGTATCTGAATAAATGTATTATTCACTATAAACCATATACAGTTGTATAATAAGGTTTTAGCAATGACAGCTGAAATTTTAAAAACAAAAGTACAAATAGATATCTTAAGAACCATAACCTACCATATTCGTTATCCATGCCTATAATTTCAAATGGTATTTGTCAGAAAACAGACCTATACAAATCACGAGAGTTATAAAATCGGTATGACTCTGAATTCAACAATGAATGAAACGACTCATCACATTGATAATATTTTTTCTACATATAGATCCCAATTCACAGAAGGCCGTTAGGTCCAAAGGTCGAGTTATATTTTCGGATATAACTCGACCTTTGGATATAACGACCTTCTTTGAACTGGGACATATATGTGAAAAAATATTATCAATGTAATAAGTTACATTATTTTCAAAAACATGCCCAGAGAGCTAGTAACAGTTTAGCAAAGTGTTATTTTCAATTTTATTATTTTCATTTCACATTCTAATTTTCGAGTCTGAACAAGATTTAAGAAGGTTTATCATAAGAATATTTTTAAATTTTTAAATTCTTCTTATTATGACATATTTCCATTCTATTCAAGGGTGTTATTTTTCTTCGAAATATAATAAATGTAAATACGCAGACTGATTTATGTATACATGTCAACATGATATATATAAACACGTAACATCGTGATATAATAAAAATAATTCCTTTAGATATATTGACATAAAACTTAACTTTGATGATATCTAAAACACTACAGATATCCCAGGGTTTCAGATAGTTTGGGACTAAATTTGTCGTTTGCCTTATAAGATATTATACACGGTTTAGGAAAATCATCTTTTTATTTGAATTGTTTCATATAATGTCATGTCTTGAAAGGTAAAATCAATCTTATTTAAAACTTCAGTGTATTTTTAAAATCATTATGAATAATGATTAAAAAAAAAAGTCACTATCTCCCATTACATTGTGTCTTTACCTGAGAGAGGGATGAACAACTCTACACAGGAGATTGAAGAAAAAGCTTTTTTATGAATTATCAAAAAGAAAAATGTCTCAGTAAAATTTCACAAAAAAGAATTATGTCATCATATGTCAGATATGTGATTTACTCTAGAATTTAGCAATGCATTATATTTTCATGCAAATTGTACAACTGCAAATTGATGTCCTATTCTCCTGTCAATGATTTTAGGCACTTATTTTATATTTAATACATTTATTTTTATTTTTGAAAGAGTTCAAACACGACAAAGTATAGTTCGAAAAGGCAATATATTTTAGAAAAAGGACTAGAAAAACAGGCGCGGATCCAGGAATTTTTTCCAGGGGGGTGGGGGTCCATCCCAGTCAAAACAAAATTCAAACCCATGCAGAAATTTCTTGAAAAAAAGGGAAAAAACGTTAAATCCATTCCCCAAACGTGAAAAAAAACCTATGTCGTGGATGTGATGGCGAGATGCACGTTTTCTGGGGGGGGGGGGGGGGGGAGGGGGGAGGGGGTGTCCAAAGTCGTTCTTTATTTGCTTCAGTATATACTTTTACAGTATACACCCCCCTCTAGATCCGCGCATGACAAAATGAACTAAATGATGAAACAGAATACAAAATTTATTACTAAAATGACCCAAGAAGGTTTGAATTATAAATGTTTGATTTTTCTTATGGTATTTGAACAAGTCGTACAGATGAAAAACATACCTAGCGTATACAGCTGATAATATAAAATATTTATAATCTGTGAATTACCACTAGAAGAAGTGACGAAACACTACTATTTTTCTTGTGTTCAAAATAATTTTATTAAATGTATCATCGTCTCAACTGCAAGCCACGGTCCGAAGTCCACCAATAACTCTCCAAAATAGGAGAGGATCGTACATTTTTGGCCTTGGTTTGCGACAATGCGGATTTGTGTAAAGTATTTGTAACCAAAATCGAAATAATATCATTGAAAACTGTACATACCGACATTTCATCAATATGTTGATGAACAAATGTACTCGTACTTTCAGGGTTAACATACAAACAGATCTATGACTTAAAACTTCCTCTTATCAGTTACTGTTATATTTGGTAATCCAAAGTCCTGCAAAGTCATATTTGTGTATTCTTCCTTGATTTAAGAGCTACATGTACGTTATTGTCTGATGATGCCATATATAAGACATTGTGGAATGAATAATCCAAGATGATAGAAAGTTTTCCGACATAATTACTGAGTGTATGTAAATTTAAGTATAGTAAGTATTCGATTTGAAACATACTCCTGGATTCTTTAGAATACTTTTAAATTAATTAATTTTCTATAAGTTTATTTTTCAATTGTTTTTGGATAAATACTCGAAGGTCTTACCTATTAGATTCTTCGGTTGTCTAGAAGGTCCCTTCAAATCAATACCCTTATCGCAGGAAGATATGGCGACCTCGGCAAACAAAACCGTGACAGCACAACGACACTATTCAAACTTTGTGCAGTTATCCCCCTTCTAGTTAATGGAATTCTACAGAGCTTTTAGTGATCTCTTAATGGATGCACATCTTTTGAACCTTTTGATGGTCAAATCACTCACACAAGAATGACAATAAAAATCTTGAATCAGAGTAATTCACAAATTTTTTTCAAATAACTTGATCGAGTATATTGAACAAAAAAGTTACATATTTTTGGAATCGCAACATACACGTGTAAACTATATAGTTGCAGGACATTTTTTCAAGAACG